CAGAAGATACAAGTATTCATTACCAGTTGTCTTCGCAAAATACTTCAGATTCGTTGGCCGGACACCATCAACAACAACGTACTGTGGGAGAGAACAAAACAGATTCCAGTGGAGGAGGAAATCAGGAAAAAGCGGTGGAAGTGGATAGGACACACATTGCGGAAAGCATCCAACTGCGTCACAAGACAAGACCTCACATGAAACCCTGAAGGCAGAAGGAAAAGAGGAAGGCCAAGGAACATATTACGCCGAGAAATAGAGAAAGATATGAGAAGAATGAATAAAAATTGGACAGAACTGGAAAGGGAAGCCCAGGACAGAGTTGGTTGGAGAAAACTGGTCGGCGGCCTATGCTCTATGGGGGGTAACAGGCGTAAGTAACTGAGTAAGTAATATCAGTCACAAAATGTATAACGGGTCAGACTGATTCCATAACAAAGCTAAAGAATAATGGGGAGAATTTTCTGAATTACAACAAGATTTCATGTTTACTAGTGATAAAAATGAACACAACAGAAGTATTTATTTAGAAAATCATTATGAGTTAATATCTTATAACCGCATATCTAAAATAAATTTACATTTTTGTGATTGATACCATAACTTTCTTACATCAAATATCATCAATTCTTTAAAATGAATGAAATATGACAGAATTCAACAAATGCAAATTTATCCAGTTTAAAATGTTTACGCATCGTTTCACATAACATAAAAGATTGACAGCTAACAATTGGCCACCCATCTATGATTTGATTTTATTTTTGTAAACTGTCTACATCATCTAGTTGTTCAACATTCTATCAGTTCTTTAATTAGATTTGCTTCTTTAAAATCATACAGCTGAATTAGTTACATAGTGCTTTTTATTTTCTTCAAAATATTTCATTTAAGCATAAAAGTCGAAATGATCTGTAAAGTGTAATAAACAAATCAAACATCAAACATTCATGTTTTGACATATCACTTAAATTATCGAAAATTTCATACGATTCGACAATAGTGTGTTGATGAAATCAGTGACTGAATTGGCAAACACTTTCAAATAAAAACAATAAAATGTAGGCAAATAAGCAAATTTACGGTAATATAATTTAACAAATAAATAAGTCTTTTGAAATACACTTTATAAGTAAAGGCTCTAAAATTCGCGCTAGCCGCTTGGCAATTTTGTGGTACGAAAAATTGTACATATCTATAATCGGGCGTAGAGGAAGACCCGATTTATGAACTTCGGAAAAACCGTATAGTCGTAGTCTATAAGATCCAGTCGGTTTAATTGAATCATGAATTTCAGACGTATTTATTCCCTTTTTGTTTAGTATAATCGAGGCTAACAATTAGTTAGACTTATTCCCCTGTGATTGTCACAAGAAGACTTTTGTCCTTTCTTATAAATTGGGACAATCAGTGATTGAGACCAGTCCGATGGGATTACGTCCAGTTCCCAGATTCTACCTAAGATCTCAGTCAACCTAGCTGCTAAAACTGGACCACCATCCTTAAATATCTCAGGGGTCAGTCTATCAGGACCTACTGCTCGTCCTCGCCTCAGATTTCCTAACGCTTTTTCAACTTCATTAAGACTAGGGGGACTTATGTCGATTTGCCATTCAGGATGACTGGAGATCGTGGGTAACCGAAGAGTGGCTCGAGGCCAGTTGAACTGATCCGTAAAGTGTTCGGCCCATCGATCCAATCTCTTCGATTGAGAATGAATGACATATCCATCCTTTTCCGAGATAGTCTCACTCACATTCGGGTTCCTAATACCAGATTCCTTGATGAGTCTGAATAGTTGCCTGCTGTTGCCTATCGCCGCTGCCTTTTCCATCTCTCTCGCTTTCGCCACCCACTACTGTTCTTGATCATTGCGAAGGCTTTTTATCAGTCTGCACCTGAGCTGACTCCGCTCCTCATCGCACCCAAAGCCAGGTGGGATGAGTTTTCAAGCATCAATCAGTTCAGTAGATGCTACTGAGATCCACGGCTTCTTCCTAGACTTATTGTTTTCCTTGCTAGCAGATATCACTGCTGTTTCCACGGCATTTTTGATATCATTCCAACCTGCATCCGGATGGAGATCACTTACATGGTCGCCTAACAGTTTTTCTAGTTGTTCCTGAAATATATTCATATCTCTGCTATCATTAAGTTTGAGCCATAAGAGGTTTCCTTGTGTCCAGTAAGGCGCAAACAAATTCGCGCTCGAACTAGAGCATGGTCTGAGTCTAAGGAAGTGCTCCAGAATGAGCAGCAGTCTCCAATAGAGCCTTTCCAACGATGGCTTATAACGATGTGATCTAATTGGGTCGGCTTCGGGGGTCGCCAGGTCAAAAAGAGTTTTCCCTTATGCTTAAAGTTAGTGTTTGCTAGGAATAGGCGGTTATCACCTGATTTATAAGCCGTCAGACGCAATTTAGTAACGATTATCTGGGCGAGCTAATTACGAAGCCTAAGAACACGTTTGACACCAACCGTCACGGAACTAGTAGTAATTTGCACACCACAGGGTGAGGTGTGACATTTTTAAGGTCGACTTTTTCTAACCCCTTCCTTCCTTGTGAGAAGGTAGCATCATTACAGATGCTGGTTTTCCGAGGGAAACACTTTACTGCTGTCACACCCCTCTGCATACAGCAGTACGAGTCAAGCCCTAGAAGTGTAGGATTAAGAAACGACTGAAATCAAGTATGCATTTCAGTCACTTGTTTTTTTAACGAAGCTATAATTTGCATGAGATGCAATAATCAATGATCAGAAGTTTAGATCAAATCGCACAATATGAATTGATGCGAATCAAAATATGTATTTGATAACATTGAAGTGGTCATAATGTAATTACTGTTGACAGTCTACAGGTAAATAATCTGTAGGTCGACTGAAACCTAACACTTGATTTATCCCTGAATTTCCTAAAAATTGAAATTAGTTTTGTTTAAGTGTACGGTATTATTATGAAAAGGAAAACAAATGCTGGTTACATTATCAAAGAGTCGATGAATAAGTGAAGCAAAGAGATCCGGTAACAAACAAATCACCGATCCCAACTAGAACATTAAAAATGATCGAAAATGAATAAGGGTCTAACGTCGAAAAATAGGTAACAGTTAAGACACCAAGTAGCAAAAAATTGATTGATTATAACTCAAACTACTATTTAATGGAAAAAGTAGCATAACGCGACAAACTAAGAAGAACGGGACTAGTATGGAGGCTTAAATCAAGTTAAGAAACGATCACCTTAACGACATGTGAAATAAAACTCCTCTTATTTTTATCATAGAGTATTTGTGGGGATTGTGGAGTATTGCATTTTACACCACTCACTGAATTAGTCAGACAATGATTGAAAGCCAGGAAGTACTGGTCAGTAGTTACCCACTGATAGAACTGGACGATGGTTTAACAATATCGAAGACTGATTTCAGTTAGTGATGTAAGTTATCAGTGATCTGAATGTTCAGTACACACCTCTGTGACTGGAAGCCATGTGCTTATTCAGTAGTGGGATCCTCAATGTGAACTCATAACAAGGACAATAAATGTCTGTCACGGAAAGTAAATGTCCTTATAAAATCAATGCTCCTAAAATTTCATAAGTGAAGATATACCAACAGTATTATTTTATGCAAGTTGACGATAATAAATACTCATTCTCGCAAATTCAGACTCCTAGTTTTACCACAAAATTTTTAAGAAGCTAAATGAACTGCATCTATTTGAGATAACTGACGTCAAGTTTCTAATAATAATCAGTCCCATAAAATTAAAACAGCTGTTTATTTCACATCGATGAAACTGGAAATGGAAAAATACGTTAACTGTCACTAGTTAAATGTTTAAACGCATTACACTCGGGTGAACTATCAAATAAACGTTTAGCATTTGGTAATACTATACAAAGAAATGAATAAGATTTGTGTGCTTATATCGATAAAAAAGAACAGCACTATAAAACATTCAACTTGACTATGAACAAGGATAATTCTGGGATAAATTAAGTTCCTCAAAATTACTTTCATTTATCTCTACTGGCATAGAATACAGGAAAATTAGTGGGTAATTAATTAGAACAAGGATAAAACAAGTTGTCGTTTAATACCAAACTTGATTTGAAATATTCATTTATTCAATAGTAATTATAACTGAAGATAGAATCGAAGAATCGATCAATCCAAACATGTGTAGAAGTCCATCCACTGAGTATCAGGAAGCAGTGGATAGCTTTTTAGTCCAGAAATAGGACTTCTCATAAGTGAACACCTACAAACTTACTGTAGTTTGGAATCAAGATGTTCAGGACCTACAGTGAGTGATTGATTTTTAGTCCACTGAGCTGAAAACCAAAAGTTAACTTACATAATTTCAGTCAATTTGCTCTGTTAGACATTATACATTATACAATGATACTTGTATTGAAAAATTCAAAGCGAGAAATCGAATGAAGATAACTAACGAAGATCGCAAGTAGAAATGGTTATTCACCTTCTCTCTCTCTCTCTCGCTTACTTTTAACAATTATAAACAAATAGAAAACAGGAAAATAATACAAATGTAAAGTTCAAAATAACATAATTGAAATGTACGGAGGAAAGTTGAAAATACATTGTATATTTTCTTTTGGGAAGAAAACAAAATAGAAATACGAAAAAAGAACGAAGTGGTAAAAAATAGATTTACACGCATACTAATAATAGTAAGTAAGTAAGTAAACAAAAAAAAGCAGTACAAAAGTGTACAAAACACAATATTACATTAGTTATTATCAAATCAATCATCATCATCATCATCACATATATGTGTTTATGTATAGTTATTGTCTATATATCACAGTCAATGGATAGGTGCATTTGTATTTTTGATTACAATTTTTTTTTAAAAAAATGGAATGAATAGAAACAAGTTATGAAGTTAAGCGAATCAACAAAATCATTTAATTATCATTATCATCAGCATGAAATTTAAATGTCATGATTGTTTGTTTTAAATTTTATTCTCTATGATAAAAGAAAATCTATTTCTTTTCTTAACGAATCAGCCATTGTTCCAGCTAAATTACCATAATATGTAGCAGCTTCATGATGACCAAGTTTTAATAGGAATGAACCAAATTCCAAAAATATCGACTCATAAAATGATTCTATCAGAAAATAAATTCATAGAAATATATAATAGTCAATAACGAAACTGTTCTTACTAATGATTCCTAAACACTAATGTGATGATTTATAAACTGTTAAGAACATGTAGTTAATATAAAGCTCAAATCAAAATCTATTTTGTACTGGTTTTCATCATTGAAATGCTGTCATATTACTGAATACTATGAAATAAAATTATGGTAAAAAAAATATCGGTATGAAGTATTGAAAACTATAACTTATTTTAGATTTTGTTAAGCATTATTGAAAAATTAAGATTGAAACTGTTACTGTCAGTTCAATTTAAGAAATATGAATACAAAAATCGTTTTTGTTAAGACCGTGATTTGATTAAAGTTATAATAAGACAATTATACACAAAATAATAATGTCAAATAATCATCTATTGTAATATGCTGATATAAATCAGATCGCAGAGTTTAATGGGATAGAACAATGTAAAATGTTTTAAAACACATAAATGACTTTAAATTCCTCTTGTCACTGACTTAAAAATACTGCAAAAACTAGCCGTAAACAGACAGATACAATGGTACAACAATGCATTAGATTAGAGAACTGTGGTGGGGATGGGATCACCAATACTGTGGCGTTGGATATTCTATATAACTCCTAAATTTCGTATACTGATCCTTCTGACAACCGCCACTAGATAAAACTCAACGGTGATACGCAGAGCAAACGAAAGAAGTGTACATACGTGCACATTGAAAAATGAGTGAGTCATTGAATGGTTTAAGCGACTAACATTAAACCGAGTAGAATGAATATTTGCGTAGGTGGTAAGCAACACTCAAGCATACATGCTCATACAAGCTTCCAGGTTTCTAATGGTGGTCTAACAATGATTGATTGATGATTTCACATGTGTAAAAACACTAATCTCAATAAATCTAATTGAAAATATCGTAAAATGTTCACACTGGTGACTAGCTTCGTGAGGAAATTCTCGGAGATCTGGTGAGAAGACATGACCAGCGGAGTTTAACCCTGTCGAGTGTAGGCAGTAACTACCAAAGACAAGTGGGTGAGGTCACGCAAAATCCCTTGATCAATCAGAGTTAGACATTAACACCGTTGGATGCCGGTCCAGTGGTTAGGCGTTCGCGCACAATATCGAAGGTCACGGGTTCGAATCCTGCGAGGTGCGGAAGTCGTGGATGCGCACTGCTGACTAATCCCATACCAGGACGAAACGGCCATCCAGTGCTTCCAGGTTTCTAATGGTGGTCTAACAATCATTGACTGATGATTTCAAATTTGTAGTAATAAAAGTACAATGGCACACATAAGTTGTTGCTGTACGAATAACTCTATGTTAAATAAATTAAAAAAGGGCTTAACATTAAATTAAACGTAAGCAAACTTAAATGTAGATGAGCTGCTATAAGTATATATACTTCTTCAAAGCACCCACTCTAGAAGTATGAACTAATGCAAATGACTGGATAGATTAAAAAGTTTATTACTTAAGTTAGTTATGCATACATATACAAGAATATATTCACACCATTTACCATTTGAATCGAATAGTACAAGTGAATAGATAATCACAGGCATTTTTGTAAATTATATTAGCAACTAAACACAGTAAACAATTTTATATGGGATAGATAGAATGGGGTTACTAGTGGAATTTAAAATGCCCGTTTCGTCCCCTTTAGGACTCGTCAGCTGGATATGCATGCATCCGAGTTGATGTTCAATCCGGAGCTCGAACCCAGGACCTTACGCTCGAAACGCCACTATCCACTTAGCTACTAGGTCCAGGTAGCCACTTACTTTTGCAACGGGTTCGAGTCCCAAAGTGAAAATGAACACCCAGCTGATGAGTCCCAAATAGGAAGAGACGCGCATCCTGGATTCTACTGCTTGCCAAATTCTACCTACTCAATATAAGTTTGTGTCATAATGGCTTTATCGAAGCAATCTGCATAGGATACCCATACACCAAACAAAACTGATCCAATTTCAGTCAAAATATCAACAACTTAGTAATTCAAGCCATGTCAAAATTGAATTACACTAAACAATTGTTATAATATATGAAAATTTGATTTAATATCTTGATTATACGCATTAAACTAATGAGAAAAAATTTTTTTGATGAAGAAAAATATATCCTTTTAAAAATAATTCCAGTCATTAAAACAATGAAACAAAGTAATTTACCTGTTTCTTTAGTTGAATTTAATAAGCCTAATTCACGGCATGCTTCCAAGTATCTGGCTGCTAACTGATATTGATTAAGACTGAAGAGCAACTTCAAAACTTGATTATGATCTTCTAAATAAACATATATGAGGATAGCTAAATCCTATAAGGATTTAAAAGACAATAATAATAATAATAATAATAGTAAATGTTATGATAAGAAAACAAAAATACGAAATTATTGATTCGACAACTACCAATCGATAACTAACAGACACTGAGTGACACAAAATCAGTCATTTCTATAACAGTGTTTTAAGTTCGAAAGATAAGTTAACAGAGAGAAAATAACTTATGTTTGTAATTGCCATTAATATTGCGTAGGAGACCGTGTTTGAACTCATGCATGTTACACAAGTGAAAATGTAATAATTTTGGAATGACGAGGTTTAAGTGTTAATCATCACTTGAAACGTTGTAGCTATAGATTTTTATGAGAAAAAACACTAGTATTAATGAACATGTATGGTACATGATTCTGTTATTTTCAGTAATAGATTTAGGAGACTCTACTCACAACAAAAGAACTTGGTAGATAGATAAAAGCGACAACTGTTTTTTTCGCCATTCAGTCCTCAGTTAGTAAGTGGATGAGCACAGTAAACTATTTCATGAAAAATGAATTAAGGTTTAAGAATCATGGAGGTGAGATGAAGGACTGAATTAGTCAAGAAATAATTAATGAATAATAACTACAATTCAAGCTTTATTTACGATTCACTCATATTGAAATATGATCAGACACTAATTTATGACTCTTGAAATAACAACAGAAACAAGTATTCGAAGTGGTAGTAATCATTTCTTTTCTTAACAAAATCAACATTGAAATAGCTACACAAATGAGGTATATGTAGTCCTGGACAGGAATGTTTGATATTGATATATATGAACATATTTATTCAGAGACTGTATTGAATCTAACGTATTCATGCATACATAATACTAATAATAAATAAACGACATTTCGGTTATCTATCATCAACACTCATAATATTTATAAGTCTAATGAAATAGATAATCGAAGAATTAGATGGTATCTATAGGCTAGGATCATTGTATATCTGTCATCCATATTAAATGATGGGATATTAGTAACAAGCAAACAGTTAAAAAGATGTTTTCGTGAAAAAATAGCCAATCTTCGAAACTCAAATATATATGAGTAGATAATTGAAACAATCTTATATGAACATGATATATTAAAATATATATTATTGTCAAGAAAAGATTTCATTGAAAATGAAATCAATTGAAAATAAATCTAAACATACTTTACGATTAACCTGAGATGAAGCTAAATATGACGCCCAACGTCTCATCACTTTATCATGTTCTTCAGTTGACAATGTACACTAAGAATAAAAACAGTAAATGAGGAAAGAAACTGGTAAAGGAAAAAGATATTAGAGAAACGATAATAAAGGTGATAAACAAGTACTAACTGCATCATTTTATCTCAATCAATACATATAAATTACTGTACAAATCAGATACGAAGAACAAACAGGTGATATGCCGATAAGATAATATTGTAAATGAAAAGAGCTGGGAAGAGGAGTACAATCTAGTGAATGAGAATAATATATAATGCGAATTATACTATTCTAAAATAGTTCCTTTCACTTTTATGGTGACAGTAAAAAGAACTACAGTAGCATTGGTACTGAATAGTCCCAATAAGATCCTGAAACTTGAATCAACAGATGCAAAAACGATAAAGAACTATGTCATGAACCGACCACATCTCTGCTTTTTCCATACATTGCCAATGTCAGCAATGAATTCGCGAATTAAAAGCTGCTAGGATCACCATTATAATACATATGTAAGCTACAGACGATAATGACGCTAAATGAATCATAACTGCTGAACTAAAGCAAAATATACCAACTACCCATTTAAAGATTGACAAACACCTTCATTGACTTAATTTAAAAACTTCTTACAATAAAACATACAAATTAGTGTATGACCTAGCTGAAATAAGCGCCAGCGAAATAAAATGTAATCAAGGACAAAAGTTTAAACTTAACTATCATTATTAAGTAGTATCAACGGAAACAGAAGAAAGAATCAATGAATTCATATGCAGGCATTTTGTTAAGAATGGATGAATTAGTAAAAAGAAAAGTGTTACACTTTATGGAAATTAGGTTTCATAGAAATCATTTAGTATAGTATATAGCAACTCACATACATTTTAGTTTTTATACATTCAATTTGGTTAAGCCCTTTAGACTAACTTATTTGACAGATAGTCATTTGTAAAGCAACAACTTATGTGTATCAGCCTCTTAAATAATTCATTGACTCATTCATTTTCCTATGTATCTATATATATGTATATTTCAACCCTCACTCACTTGCTCTTCGGCACTCTCATGTCATCTTCACTTTCGAATTGTATGTCTGTGGTTTTATGATCTGTGTGGTGCAATAATTAAACGTCCTCAACGCTTCGTATTCGTTATCTGATTGATACACCGTTGGGCGTTATCTAGTGACGGTTATCAAACTGAGCAGTAGGAGTTATATCAAATACTGATAGCCACAGAACTGCTGAGCACACATCCACCAAAAGTATTAATGCACATTTTTATTTAAACGATCAATTTATGGTATTTTCATTTAACTGAATTTACTAACTGTTAGAACAAATCTATCTATCTGAACGTTGAGAAACTAGATTTACTTAACTATGAACTTGTTACATAACTTTTATATTTATAGATAACTGCATGTCTACTTATAAAGACGTAAGTACACCAGTTCAGGTTGCCATATGCATTAGCACAGAGACGCAACTGTCAGTTCAAATCCAATAATGGTAGCGATAGTAGAAGTATTAGCATTAATGGAGAAGAATAGGGCGCGAAGATATGATTTGAGAAGTATAATTCAGTGAATCATCAATATCAATAAATTTTGATATGAAATAAAATTAATGACTATTATTATACGACAAAAAAGTGGTTGAATTGTATAATAATGAATTACCTTAGCTAACCAAACAGAACGATCCCATCGATCGAACGATTCCAAGTAACGGCATGCATCAACTTGTAGACCAATAAGACACAATAAACCAATACCATCATTAACTTTTCCATTAGAAAGTAAATTTGTAGCAACTAATTTTACTACACTTAAATAATTATCCTCTTCTGTTTTCTGCTTTACATTGGATCCAGATAGAAGTGATTTTCCAGGAAAATTTGCAGCAAACAAACAAGCACGATACATATTCATGGAATAATTACTTGAATCCGCAGGTGTTTCCAGTAGCAAAGAAACTGCACGATCCTGTTGACCTAAATTAGAAACAATTAATGAATGAGTGTTACTAAAATTATACTACCCTTAAAATCATTAATAGTTTGGTTTCAAAATCCGAGAGCGAGAAAGCTAAACTATGTAATTGAATTAGTCAGGATCGAGTGAGCAAGTTTATAGTTAACGGTATATTTATCAATCTAAAATGTATTGTATCAAACCAGGATGTTAATTGTGGTTGAAAGAAACATCAGAAGTTTGCAGCAGCCGCAGATGCGTGTTTCTGTAGATCCCTAAGAGGAAACGCCCATTCAGTACTTGTACGTTTTAAACGGTGGTGTCAGATCGCTTCAAAATATCAATAAAATTTGACACTTTTCATAATCCTATACTGATACTTACAATAAATTGGATTGTTGAGGACAACACTCACTAATCAATAAAAGAATGAAATGAATGTAAATAAATTCAGGAGAAATATGAGATAGCGATATTTCGTTGTTATGTTTGATAGGATTAGGATTCTCAGTCACGATTAGATTTAGCTGTGCTTAGTATTAGAAATGGGATATGTGGTGAGGAGATATCGTTATGGTTGAGTCAAGAATAGGGTAAAACTTACGAGCACGATTTAGATTATAAGTTAGGATAGGGAATCAGAAGAAAGTTCGAGAAACAGGATTAGAGGCTAGTGTTACAACAACATATAAATTCAATGTAAAGTCTAACCGTTAACCCTAATCCTAACCCAAAACTTTAGCTTTCAAAATAAACTACACCAAACTTAGAGAAGTTTGTTAATGACGTAAAATCACCATATTCTTATTTAAACTTTGCATTTTCTTTTACTACTAGTAAATCATTCAAATTTATTTTCGACAGATTGAAGAAAAACCAGTCAATATTTCAAGTTCATTTAGTTTTATAGTTCAGTTTTACCAATATGCAATGAACAAGTTTCACATTTTATTTATGTAAAAACAAGATAAAAAGGACACAGGTAATGTGATCCAATTAAATTAAGTATGAATAAATATAGTTTTATTACATAATAATAGTTGTTTATGTTTTTTTCCTGTAACGATAATCCTGAGTATATTTTTGTAAATTTATATTTCAGCATGACCGTTATGTTATGATAAATTATTATCACATTTAGTCTGCTAATTTTTCTATGTCCTAAGGTTATTTTTAGTTACAAATATACAGTTGTTCCGCCTTACATTTATTCTACACTAAATATAAATTCCTTTTCTGCATTGCTACCTTCTTCTTAGATTTCATCCTTGAGAATTATTGTTGAATACTTGTATGTCAGTTTGGCGCACTAATAATTTCTCAACAGATTTCATCCGTACTGGAAAACTGGTAGTCGACACTTACTGTGGACACAACCAAAAACTACATAGAAATAATGAGTATTTTTCCTTATTTATTATTACCATTGATTTTTTGTCATTGACTTCATTACCACGGATGTAAGTCTGTAAATTAAATCATGTTTTGTGCAGTGAAAAATCACTAAATATACACATGTGTAAACAGTTGTTTATTTACAACAGTTGAGAATATTTATATAGGTTTTGAAAAGTTGTTATAAATGTAGCAGAGAGTTCGCGCAATTTTATCACGAGCATGTATGCTTCTATCAAAATGTCGTCTTATCTTGAACTGTGGCCAACCTACTGCGAGAGCTCAAGATTGAATTAGGCCATAATTCGTTTAACAAAGTCGTATGGTAGAGAAAAGTTATTGTTGTCAATGTATCAGTTCAAGCCTGTTGTTAATATATACTAATGTGTTTAATAAATATTGGAAACACAATTCTTAAATGTTTTCAATCTGCTTCTGACATGCAGAGGTGGATTTCTGAAGGCTGTGCGGTGACAACAGTCGTAAATTTAAAAGTATCAAATAGAATACAAACTAAATTATGGCTATGTGAAATAAAGACAGGATAACTAAAACCTCATTTTGACTGGATATTCAGTAAAAAATATCAGAAGCAATTAATCCAAACGATACTCATAAAAACGTGTAGAACTTTTACTGAATATTAAGGTAATCAGTGTGGAAATTAAAAATTAACGAATCGCTACAATGGAATAGATATGTATTTTTCCAGAAGCTATTATCCATGTGAAACTGATAGCTAAAGAACATGAGCTAAACCTCTAATTATTTCACTAAACACATACATATATGTTTACCGAAATCGAGACTTTAATCAAATAAATACTTACCAACCATAATCATTGTATCAACACAATCCATTAATTGAGTAGGTGAATTATGTGATTTTTCCATAAATGATATAAACTTTTCAACATTCTGACGATATAGACTGCAGTCAGCTAGAAAATCCCATGATAAATCTAAAAAATACCGAGACCACAATTGGTTATTTGATTGTTGTGAATTGTTATGATAAGGTTTGTTGTATAATAAACGATTTGCAACTAATCGCCAAAATTTCACTTCATATACATCACCAAATAATTGAGCAGTCCATAAACAACGTTCAATAATGGTAGTATTTGATGAATTCATAAAACTAGTAGATAATTTATGTCTAAAATGTAAGGGAATAAAGTGATTGGTGTGAAATATATTCTTTTTTTTACAAAGCAAGTATTTGTAGAATGTTTAATTTAATGATTTATCATCACTAAAGAGTAATTACAATGTTGAAATCAATAGTTATGCTAGTTTACAAGCATAAAAGAATTTGTATTATTTGGACAAGTTGAAACATTCACTAAAAAACAAACCATCTAAATAAGGTGAGTAATAAGTAAGATAATGTGATATTAATCATATGAAAATTCATCATTATATCGACAACATATGAATCTTGAACAATAATTCTACTACAATTAATTATTTGGGTAATTTGCTTGTTTTGCTTCTTTTTTCCCGACTATTTGGTCATCACTTCAATTAGTTTTTATTATGATTGTTCAGTGAATATTTTTTCAAATTTTTTATGTGACATATTAACTTGAACTGTAAAACAACTTTCCGTATTTTTGTGTTTCATTGCGCGCACACAGATTGAGGAAAGTACCCAACTGCATCATAAGATAAGCCCTCACTTGCTACCCTCAAGTTAAAAGCAAAAGGGGAAGGCTAGGGAACACATTACGCCGAGAAATGGAGACAGACATGAGAAGAATGAACAAAAGTTGGATGGGGCTGGAAAGGGAAGCCCAGGACAGAGTAGGCTGGAGAAAACTGGTCGGCGGCCTATGTTCCATTGAGGGGTAACAGGCGTATGTAAAAGTAAGTAAGTACAATTCTTTTATATATTGAGATTAACGTTTATTTTAATTGGTAGAAATTGATAGATATGGTGGATGGTAAACAAAATCACAGTAAGCAAGAAACTTATTTTCATTCAAATTGGATGTAAAGGTAAAAACGTTGCAGCAACAATAAAAAGACGATCAAAAATCCACACTGACCAGAACACATACTGCAAAAAAACTGGTTATCTTATGAAAAACAATGTAATGTTTACTCTAAATAGAAATCGATAGGCTACTTACAACTGCGTATACAGATTTACATGAAATCCGTAAAATCTCATTTTTCTCACTTTATTTACATTATGATAACAGCAAAGAATAATAAATACACGACTATTCACATAAACGAAAAGGGAGCCACATTATGTAAGTGAACACCATTCATTGGCACAAAATGATGTATAAGAGAGCATTAAGCTAATTCCGAGTAATTTTTACGCGAAAGTTGTAGTTAAAATGCAGTGAATATAAGTGAAGTATTAAATTAGAGAAACTTTTTGAAGATCGGTGAAAAAATAATGAACAAAATACAAACAAGTATAAGAACAATATTGTAGTATAAAGTAGATTAGCCGTGCTAATCAACCAACTGACAATAAGGATTTCTCCAACTTCAAAGAAAAATAACTTAACGCACCACCAAATAAATATGAGATTTTTATGAAAGAGAATTTTATTATTTGATATGCCTAAGTAATAGCTACTCACAAAACTTGACTAACTGACAGAAACACCTGAACCAACTTACTTCAAAGATAAGACCAGTAGACAGAAAATAGGTTTATTATCTAATCGAATAACATATTTACACACAGATTAACAGGAAAATTACATGAATACATGTCATAAACAACGGAAGGATATCAACTTTGCAGATTCTTTAATCGGAAATGAATCAGGAACTGACTGTCAGGCATAATTCTCATTCATCACATCAAAAATACTTCTAAACTTCTATTCAAACAACTTACAAATCGCTAAATATTAAAAACCTTTTCCATAATACAGGAGGAGAAGACTAGTATCACACTAAACGTATATAATATTAAAGTTTATGATAAATAAAAGTGCAAAAAAAGTTTATCACAAGTATACCTTGTTTTGAGACCATATAAGAATATATTTACAGAATTTTGAATCTTTGCAAAACCAGGAGCAAGCAGAGAACAGTCACTGCTAGAATAATTACTTTGGTCTAATTTAGCATTAGTTAGAGTAGTCTGATTGTTTGTTTCTGACTGATTGGTTAAATCGATATTTGAAGATTTTGATGTTGAAGTTTGACAACTAGAAGTCATATCAATTAATAAATCATCATCATTCTTAATCGAAGAGATATTTTGCGACGTTTTACACCATGGTTGATGCTGTAAAATATGTCGAATATTTAAAGCAGTGATAGGAGGAAGTAACGAAGGGACTAAAACAGGATCTAAAATGAAAAAGTAAACAAACTGAGATTAAACAAAAAGTTAGAGTGACCTTTTTGATGAGAGATAAATGGAGTGAAGTCAAGGGCGCGTTTCTTACTATTTGGGACTCGCCAGATGGATGCAGCGGCATCCCAGAGTTTATTTTTAGCCCAGGACTCGAACCCAGAACCTCCGGCTTCAAACATCAACACGTTATTCACTTAGCTATCGAGTCGAGTTAGCCACCAGATTATGTGATGGGGTGAATTTTATTAATTCATTTGTATTGATTGTTTGTATCATCCCATTGATATTATGGAGTGCAAATGATCAATCTGTTTTGGCATGTGTGTATCATGTGCAGATCACCATGAAGTCAGAAGTATTTGTGATACAAAAATATTTCAGAAATGAACAATAATATAGAAAACTTAATAATAATAAACTAACTCAACTACGAAACTAATCAGTACGTAAAGAATGTCAAAAATGATATTTATTCTTCAAACAGTTAAATGAATATTCATTATCATCAAAAGGGTTTAGTAACTTCATGGAATCTTATAAAAAAATCTATGTATATCACAAAATAAGTGGACAATTAAATAAACTTTCCAAAAATTCAAAAGTAAATACATTTCCATAGCAATAGTTGAGATAAATATCTGAAAAACAATACGATAGAAATTGATGGAACACGATCAGTTATTAATTTAACTAGCCGTTAACATAAACTATAATTTTTACTTCAAGTCTAACTGTAATAATAAAGACTTGTTTAGTTTTCAATAAGAGTTAAGATTTCAGTTGGAGCTACCTTTCAGTCAGTCAGTCAATTACAACATAGAACTTCGTACGTAGGTACATCAGTTCAGGTTGCCATACCGCATTAGCACAGAGATAGTAGAAGAATTACTGGTAATGGAGAATATTAGAGATCGAAGATATTATTCAAGAAGTGTAGTTCAGTGATGTAACTTTAGGAAGAGAAAGATAGAGATGATGAGGAGCTACCTTTAGAAGGCATAGAACTCACTTGTAACTCCAAATCATAAAGATGGAGGTAAAATACTAATATTGAAGGTCAAGAAAATATAACGCAACTGGGATAAGTTTACCTAGATTCTTTCTTTCTTAGGGCGCCACACCCCGAGCCTTTGACTTACAGGCAGTAACGTGAAGAGATCCAGTCCCATCGTAGCCGGTCAACAACAATATGTTTACAAGCCATTTGTTCCATCAGGATTCCGGAGCTCATATGCACCATCAGTATTAGTTTGGAACCTGGATTATCGAACTCTCTTTGGTGGATCTCTCGTTTCCACCGATGTGGTTGGTAACAGACACTCTCTTATTGTCATTTAAATTTCATGAGCAACACCCTAGCCACGAGAAGGCAGTGATTAAGACTTCCCTGACAGTAACTATATACGAAAGACCATATAAAAGTAAGTTGAAGGGAGAGAAAACACTCCTCCCTCTCAGCCGTACTACGGCCGAGATCGTGAGGATGATTAATTAAGGAACGGCATCACAACAAGTACACAACTAAAGCATGTTTGATATGAAGCTGAATAATACACATAGTAAGTTAATTAATTGTAATTTATGAACAGTGAGAGATACAGTATCAATTAATAGGTCAAAAAAATAAGACTATAAAAATATTATTAACCAAGTATTTGGCACATACTAATTAGTTTAATTAAAAATAGCTTTTCAAGATTCATAATTTCTTTTCATCACTTTCTACCAATATACTAGTTACTTATAAATGACCAACATACTGATCTAATAACCTCAAGATTTTATCTATATTCTGTGTGACAAACTCCAAGATTTCTAATCACTAAGTTACAAGAGATCAAATAATTCTGTTTCAGAATTAAACATTTTAATGTAATAGAAAAAATACTTGATATGACAGCTCTGAAAACATTATTTTATGAAGAAAAACAAAGTCATGAATACATAAATATATTGGCTGATACCTTGAATGTCAGGTCTGTCTGGCAATGGACTTTGAATATAAAATTTTGAAATTGGATCTTGTAAAGTAGTTCCACGCGTGATTGTACTTCCAAGATTTACTGATTGATTAAAATAGTTAACAATTGTCATTTCATAATTAGCTTGACCAGCTTGTACAAGTCGTAGAGCGCCATCACCACCTAAAAGAATACACAAAGCTCTATCCGATGATTTGGTGACAACAGAAACCCAATCAGCGCAAATTAAAGAATGATGAATTGATCCAGTGAAGTCAATTATACATAAAAGAAGCATCTAAAAGAAATAAAAAATTATATATAAAATATTCAATTACAAGATAATGTTTGATTACTAACTGATAATTATTAACACTGAAAAAGTACTGTTTACCTGGTTAGTAAAATTAAAACATGATACATATAAAATAATGGTTACAGTCAATTTTACTCAATTTTACTTTAGAACAATGCAGTCACAGTTTGTAGCTTTCACACATGATATTGAGTCACAAAATTAGAATGAGAAACTAAGACAATTTCAATCGAAAGAAAGGAATTAGGATTTTAATTGGATACACACGCATGATAGGATGATAGAAAAAGAAACATTCACTGACAAATGTTCTACAGAAACAACACTTTTTAAAAGGTGAAAAAATACCTGAAAATTTACACAACATAAAGATGAATGAATTATGTGAAAATATGTTATACTTTGTGAAAATTTACTGGGTCATTTGTTCTTTCATGATGAATAGGAAATGATTGGTTTGACATAGAGAATATTAGTATAAAAGCTACAATAACGATTTATACTCGCTCATTACTTGGATTAGCTCATTTTTCTCTAGAAAAAATCGCCACCAGTCAATACTATTCCCAATAACTGGGGAGCTTACGGTAATTAACAGTTACTGATCAAGTTTTATGTGTTCGCCAATCTTTGATTTCATTTTTTTTTCAGTTACCTTTTATCAAACACTTTTTAATAAACTAATGAGCAAATTAAGCGATGTAGGCTAATTCTATAATATAATTAGCTGTATTTAAACACATCTGTTAGTAGATTGACAATATATGTCAGAAATTTTGATTTCATTAGTTAAACGGCTATAAATTAGATAAAAGAATGAATATACTGACTGATATTTTATGTTAATCTAAAGTCTATAGTGAATACATACATCATAACATTAAATCATAATCAACAATATCATTCATTCAACTTACCTGTCTTGGTTCCCAAACACAAACTGAATTCAACTGTAAACTAAGAAGACGAGTAAGACTTGACAAACCCGGTATAAAGCATAAACGTCGAATATTCAGTGAAGAATGTACAGTTGGAGTATTTGCTTCGAAGACTAAATCTGGATCAAAATATTGTTCATTAAAAGTACCAAGAGCCTGATCTAAATAATTTGATTGGAACTTTGAGCAAGTTGTTCGAAACAATGTTCTTTTACTATGTAAATCTCGAACAGCTACAAAACCATCATAAGTGCCAAAAGCAACTAAATCAGAGAACCAAGCAACGGAATTAATTCGATTTAAACTAACAGTTGGCAGACCATTTAAACTATAATTTCATAAATAAGAAACATTAGAAGAAAATTTGTTGAAAATTATTTGATAAACTAGAATATAATTAATCAAATTAACTGCAAAACAATTTAAGACCAAAGAAAAAAAACAACTGTTGAGTTTTTTTATTACGCCTTAAACTAGAAATCAACGTCAAGAAATCGAACGAAAAGGAATATGCAATAAACGAAATATATTGTACGATTTAATAAACAAATACTTATGATGTTTTGGATTTCCGGTTTCCTTTGAATAGAATGAATTATTCATACAACACTAAATTGACTAAGGAGGTATTGAAAGAAAACTGTGTCCTATTTTTAACTGCCTAATATCTGGACATAGAGCACGTGATGTTCAATCGCTGAAACCGAATTAGGCAAACTGCAGCTTATCGATTGAATTGGGCCAGAGCTAGTAGATAAACAAACATGACGATTGATTGACAATTAATGATAAATCAATTGATAGTCAAATATTATCAATATGAAGAGATCCAGTGAATATTGTTTTATTCTATATAAATTTATTTTAAGGCAAGGATTTTAATCAATAGAGATAAGAAAAGATGGATGATATCATAAGCCGACACAATTCCACATATAGAACACTATAGACTAGATAATTTTAAAACACTGCTAGTCTACATATATATATGGTTGAATATTTTCGTTGTAATTTTATATACACTGATACTTTTATGAATCTATTTTTTTCTATTGTAATACTATTACTTAATGAAACTATACTATAACAATGGACGATTTCGTTTTGTTTTAACGATAGCGCCTATGTTTACTTTTACACATTTAAGCACCAATATCCTAATAACTGTACGATAACTGATATACTTTTTGGTTGTGATCACATATCTATCACACATAATGAAAAGCCTGAATAATTATTCAACATTGCTAACAATATATATATATACATATGTTAAATAATGTATTTTACATTGTATTTGAAACTGAAGTATTATCCACTGTATCATTGTTCACTGCAATCAAGCGAATATTGCCATCCGAAGTGCACATAACACATGATTCACGTATATAAGCAGATTCTTTTGAATGAACATAGTCGTCTGACCTAATTTAACAGAGAGAAAACGAATAAAAATGTTTTGAAAAAGAGAATGAGTTAAATAGAGTACATCATCAATATTGTGTACAATGAAAATGTATACATATGTTTGAAGATACATTGCTTACTTAATCATGAATAAATAACTAGTGATTAGAAATTACCTAATAAATTTGGTTTACATACTGTTTAGTATTTGAAAAAAAAGATTATTTACATCAATGAAATAGATAATAATACATTAACGATGAAAACTGATCATTAAACTAAATATTATTTCAATGAATTGATGCTAATTTTTATCGAGTTGTACATTGATCAATCAGTGTGTTAGATGTTTACATAGAAATATAAACAAAGTGCTAAATAGATTAAATTTCTATACACACACAGATTGACTACATGAATCAATATTCTAAGTAGAGAATATGTTGACAAAGAAAGTTGTATATCGACCAATAGTCAACTTTATTTCGTTAAGTGTATTTCAATGACCATAAACTTCAGTGTTACACAACAATCACATGCGCAAAAGTTTATCATACTAAGAAATAATCATACTTCGAAAGAACAAGTATGTGTTCTTATCTATTACATATCAATTTGGCATTACATACCATGAAAATTGTAGATTAGATTGTTAAAATGTTTTTGATTAACAGTTTTACAAACGTTATAGCACTTCACTTTATCACTCCTGCTGACAGCCTGAGATTTTGATTGTCAGTAGACTTGGGACAAGAAAAATTTTTAAACTGTACAACTAATTATTTTAATAAAATGTAGAAAAACTAGGCTTAACAACCAAGCCTTAACTAGTTAGTGAGTGGACATACTAATTTTCTCCAATGACCTGTAAACATCTAATTATGTCTATTTTGTGTTAAGATTTTGTATTTAATCATGTCATGTTATTGCATAAAAATTTAATATTATTGAGATCACGAACCGATCTAATTCAGCCAATCAGTGAAAAATTGTGAGCGCTTGACAGCTGTTTCATCTCAAAATGAGATTTATCAACAGTGGCACACCCACGAGCACACCAACTGGGATCGAACCCAGGACCATTAGTTTTGTGCGAATGCTTAACATCTGGACCAATTATCTGTGATCCAATGGTACACAAGTCTAACTCCAATCAGTCCGCAATATTATGAGGACGACACACACTGAATACAATTTAAAGATAGTCGTGAAAAATTGCGGACTGATTGAAACTAGACTGGTACACCAATGAATCCTGGACAAATGGTCTAGAGGCGAAGGTCCTAGCTTTTATCCCAGGCAAGGGGCTCGTATATTAGCCACCGTTGAGGAGTCTCATACTAGAGGAGAAAGAGGTTTAGTGCTAACAATCTCGAAAATTCCGATACCAAAAGAAAAATCAATTCGTGTAGGGTTTTACCCAGTACATCTTCCTAACAATACCTCTCTTTTCGCTATTCAGATCGCTTAGAGGAGGATGGTTGAAGTGTTTCTTATTCAGCTGGTATCACAGTCCGTCAGTGATGTCCACTTTCTCTACTGTTGCTTAAATTTTTCATCGACATGCTTTAAGAGTTAACACTATCTTCGTCTGATTTATCAGGAGTGGACCTTCCACCAGAAGACTGACTTGTTGATTTAGAGTATGCCGAAGACCTAGTTCTATTTGGTGAAGACGCTGACAAAATACAGAGAGTCTTCTGAACACCCTAAGCAACAATGCAAGCATGTTCGGGATGCGGTTCTCACCCTCGAAATGCAAAATGTTGCTTCAAGATTGGGTTGCATCGGCATCTGAACTAGTGATAGAGAGTGAAGTGATTGAGCGTGTTGACCAGGAGTTTCATCAGTGCTGATGAACTGATGACTAACGAAATCTCAGCACGGATACAGGAGGCTCGATTGGATTTTGTGAACGTGCGTCACTTATGGAGTAGGCGAGACATCCATTTGCTAACCTAAGGACGAGTAAACTGTGCAGCAGTTAGCTGTTCTACCATATGGAAGTTTTTAAAGCATTAGCTCCGCTCTTGTTTAAAAGGCCTTACCACCGGAGACGGAAATCCATGAAGTAAGGTGAGGTGTGACATTTTTAGGGTCGACCTTTTCTGTTTGGCATGGTAGAACCTTCAGGAACATGTGTTGCAGCCAATATAGCTCAGTTGGGTGATCACGATAGGCAAGCCCGACCATCACGTCCAGGTAGCAGTTACGGTCGGGAAAAGTTGTATTCTTCAATATATAAATATATATATATATATATACATAATTTCCCTTGAGTTTTAGTGAGAAAACGTTGGCAATTAAAAAATGCTCATAGATGAAATATGATGGCAAGTGAATGAAACTGTACATTGACTGAAGTTCGGGAAGATAAATTATCAGATCTCAAATCAATGACTAGGTAATATAACACTCATCCCTAGACATAAAAGTTCGACGATTCTTTGCTGTCCGATATAATTAGTGTATTTGTGTGTATGCGATTGGCCCTATATATAGTTATCTGCACTTTAGGTTGTGAAAATATTTGAACCCTGAATATGATTCTAACAGCTGTACTTACCGCTCTTTTGATGTAAATTTGATCATGAATATTAATTTAGACTTGTATATTATATACAGTACTAACAGTTTCTGTTTACTAAAATAACAACAGCTAAATCTTTTGGTATACGAAGGAAATCGGTCCTTTTTTAAATCAAATAGTGAACTCACTTAGAACTCTTGTCCGAAATTTTACGACTTCGATGAGATTTAGTTGGCGAATGACACCAATCCTACAAACAGAAAATGAATAAAAAACCCGGAATTTCGGTAAAACAAAATGACAACAAAACTATGCAATTCAAAACTCAAAGAGCTACGTACAAAATCATGTGACTAGGTTGTGAAAGCACAACTGTTGAGTAAGATTTAAAATGTTTGACTATATTAAAATAGGGTGAAATGAATGCAACAACAGATGAATGTCAACAAATGTAAGTTATATGATGTTTATGAAAATACCTGTGAGAATTAAACACATGTTAGGAAAATGCAAACACTCTTGCATTGCTACACATGGAATTTAGAAAACTGAATTTTCTCAATGCCTTCATCAAACACATATGAATCAACTGTATACTCTTTTCTAGGTTGACTATTTTTAAATGAGGATTCAGACTAGTGTTAAAAAATGAAGAAAGTGGTGTCTTAATCAACACCATTTGAAGTATTTTACTGTCAAAAAAAAATTTAGTCTGACTACACACTTACTGTAATAAAAACCAGTAAAATTAATTAAAATGGTTCAAATTCAAATAACGCTTACCAAAGCAACAACTGTTAAATCTGGTAGAAGAGGTAATTTAACCACTAAGGATGAATTGCACAATTTCCATATTTCTAAAGGACTTCTGCGAACTGCTATACCAACGTACTGACTGAAAATATTTTAAAAATATGGAGCAAAAAAATTTTAATATTTGAAGTTAAAAATAATTTTGATAAATCTAAGAGGTTAACCTCACAAGCACATTTATTTCAAATTTTTTGTATTACCGCTACAAAGCACTGAGTTATATGAAACATTTAAAAATTATACATCGTAAATTAACTCATTTATCAGTTATTTGAGTACGGTCCATAATTTAAATGTGAAGGCTAACGACAATATCCGGTTGCCTGACCGAAAATAGGTGGGGAAGGGCTTAAACCCGGGACTAAGGGACTGAACGTTAAACGGCTCAGCCACTAAACCATAGCTCCACTTAACTAAACAAAATTACTGGTGATAAAGCAGTGATGATATGAAAACCAGGGTACTCTGTGTGAAATATAATAATCAACGTGAACAACTGAAGTGTTAGTTGTTATTAGTGATTTGATGAATTGATCGAATACGATCTAAATTATTCACAAGGTGCACAATATTTCAGAACCAACTAAAGTTTCGTTGAAAACCATCTTTCTAGAACATGCTATCATTACTTCACAATATGAGTAGTCACATCGGTTCAACTAGGGAATAAAATTAATGGTATAAGGAATATGATAGCAAGCATTTTTCACCCTGTTGAAAACAATAGCCACGTAAAAGTTTGTGAATTCCACTTTTTGGTAGATTGTTTCGTATAAAAAACCCGAACCAAATTGTATAAGATAATGTTCGAGCTTGTAATCCAGTAATTGAGAATTGAATATTTAAATCACTGAATAAATGCTCCTCTATTAAGTTACTCATAGATGGTCATTTACTAAAAGTATATTTTAGATAAGAAGGATACAATATACTTCAAGCCTTAGTGTTGAATTTGGTCTGAAATGGCAAACGATAGAAATTGAACAATACTCAACATAAGAAATAAATAGACGAAAACAAGAAATGGCCAACTGAAAAATAAAACGTTGATAACTATTCACCAAACTATAAGCTTATTTTAGAAGTTCATAAACAATATGTAACAGTTTAAAAGGAAAATGGACGATTATGGGTCGTTCTCAATGTTAATGTGATTTATATGCACAGTATAAACATTTCAGCGATATTGGCCAACTCGATAGTGTTAAGATTTGTTTTCATGTTCAACCAATCAAGTATATTAAAGAATGAGAAATCCATTTTTTCAAAAAACCCACAACATTAACCCCAAAAGATGCAAGCGATTCAATATTTACTCATAACAATCAAAAACGATAAAATAATGACTCCCATAAACAATTCTTTACTTTAAGTGGCTAACACAAAGAATATCAATTGGTCCCTCCGAAAGACTTTCTTCATCGTTAGATCCAGATAAAAGTGGACTAGCAGAGGGTCCGATTGCTGTATGATGACCTGTCTTCACAGTCCTTTGATTTGAAGTGTCACGAAATATACGCATATATCCTGTTAATAAGTCTACTGTGGTAACGAAATTTCTTCCCATTAGATTCGTTTTATTTAATGAATTTTCAGTAAGAGAACTTTGGTGCCCATCTTTGGATTGCCAACCATGAACAATTAAACCTAACGAATATTCATATGGTGATTTCGAAGTATCCTCATTGATTTGATTACTTTTATAAACTGTTCGGGGTATTGGTATCCACTCAATTCCTTTCACAGGTACCGGTAGTACATGATATTCACGCCATAATATAGCTGATGATACATCCCAAATCTAGATATAACAAATAGGAATAAAAAAATACATACAAAGATGTATTAACATAAAATCTTGTAACTTAGTTAAAAAATGAAAGTGACGAAATTGTAATATGATTATGATAACGTTGATCTTTTACTAATTCACACTGAAAATTAAAATAAAACTCGAATAAGCAACAATAAATATTACATCAGTGATTCTTTTCCCAAAATTTCCCATTTAGAATCACCTGGATTCATAAGCTAAGTAGATAACGCGCTCATATTCGAAGATCAAGCTAATGGGTTTGAGTCCCAGAGCAAACATCTACTCTGCGATGCAGGTACATCCAGCTGACGAGTCCTGAATAGGACGAAACGTGCATAACTGGGTTCCATAGCGAGCCAATATCCACCTCTGCTAACACCAATGTAATCTGCACAGGATGCATATACTCCAAGGAGACCGATCAGTTGCAGTCTTAAACATCAATGGGAAGATACAAACAACCAATGAAAATGAATTTAAGCAAACCGTTTAGTTGACTTCACTTTGTATATGAAACATTAAAACTGAGATTTTTCACAAGTGTAGGCAAATATCACTAGTGACATGATAGTTAAAGACTTAGCTTAGTATTCTCAAACTAATTAGTCGACAAGTAACTTTTCGTGCGTAATAATTGTTATTTAATTATATCCTACATTGTAATCACATCAAAAGTTGAAACTAAGTTAACAATTTGTGACATTGATTCCCTTTTGGTATGAAAACCTTTACATTCTACACTTTTTATATTAATTGAGGAATAGAATAACATAATTACCTTAATGCTACAGAACACAACATGGAGTTTCAGTATCATTTCATTGTGACAATGATGACTATGGGTTCAAATTATATGACTTCGAAATAAGTTAATATGTAAAATACAATGTTGCTTTCCAATTTACCGGTACAGTTGGGACGTGAGGTATTCACACACCCTTTTGAAATTAGTCTCATAAATAATATCTGAATGGATAGAATCCATCTTGATTGTAGTAACGTTATGTGGACAGCATTCTTTAATAGTCCCATTTTAATTATACCAATAAAATTCTTTTTGTTTCACTTCTTCATAATGTTATCATTTTATGCTAAGAATCCCATGTTGTTCTAAACATAAAATATTGAGTACAACCAATATTGTTATTACCTTGTTTTCTGTATCATAATTTTTGCTGGGGTACTGTAAGATTAACGCTTTGTATTGCCAATGAAATAGACAACAAAAGTCACTACAACAACAATACAACCTAGCATTTATGTGAAAAAACGTGAGAATAAATAGGACTTTCTTTAGGAAAAATTGCCTATTTCAGTCACAAGAAACACTTCAAATAAAATGAAGTAGCGACTATCACCAATTCTTAACACGAAAGCTTCATTTACTGCTTCAAATTACAGCAATTAAAAACTTCAACTGAGATTGGGTTTCTTCAATGTGGGATTAACTAGTGAAGAAATTTATTAAGCTGGAACAAGTTAATTAGTCAATAGTAATGTTGCTTTAAATAATAAAATTTTGTGATCAATAAAACGTTTTAAGTCATTCATCAGATGACAATTAGAAATGAAGAATAACTGGCCACTTCGTGATTTTCATTTTTACCAGCGATTAATAGTTTGTTAATTCACAAGTTATAACATCTTAGTTGGATACTTTACATATGAGTTATAGACATTATTTCATAATATTTTCAGCCAGTTGGTCAATGTTATTGTATTCTAAAATTTATTTGGTTGGGATTTGGAATGGTTCCATAAGTGAATTATCATAAGTGAATTCATTTTATTCACTGCAGTAAGCTTACCAGTCAACTATGCTACTATAATTCTATTCTGAACTAATTTCATACAAGTCAGTGGAGTTAACCATGTAAACCGTGTCAAGAGTGACAGAATAACCCGCTGACATTAAATTACACCTGATTATAAGTTGACCAAAGTTAACATTTTGAACTATTTGGTCCGGCTTACTGGCTCCATAATAGCGTTTTTTAGAAGTCCTTGAGTCTCTGAGTTTTGTTTTGTATAGGGTGGGGTGATGCACTGTTGAAGAGTTCTCTCAAATCTTCTGAATGCCTCATCGCCCTTATCTTTCTCTTTCTTTTAATTTATTTCACTGTGATAATACTTTTCAAATCATATCTTCGATCCTAATATCTTTTAGATTAGCGCTAATACTTCTACCACATCTACCACTAAAGGATTTGAATTGACAATTGCATCTCTGTGCTAATATGGTAAGGCAACTTGAACTGATGTACGTACGCACGAAGTTCTACATTGTAGGTGACTGACTGAGAGTTATAAATAAGGATGAAATTGTTTCTTAATGCTTCTTGACTTTTTGGTGGTTGTCCAGTCGACACAAATAATGAGAATTACCTTCAAGTTGCAGATACTATTAACAAAATAACTGTCATAAATGACTAAGTTAATTCGAGAGTAAAAGTATTATGCTTGGAAACGGCAAAAAAGATCACTTAATTGTGAGAAACAAAAGAGGAAAAGTAAGAGGGAATATTCTATTCTCATATCATTAATATCAATAAATAATAATTTCATAACATGTGACTACAGTTTTGAACCATTTTACAGAAATATAGAGAAAATGAGATAAAACCAGAATAATGAGTTATATTTCTAATGATTAGTAACATTAATTTATGATCTTGCGTGATATAAGTAAAAACGAAAATTGTGATCAATATTTGAGGGCGAAAATGCTTAAATTAAACGACAGATATATGATCTGATTATGAAAATAAGTATGCGATTTTAGGGACTTGTGTATATCAAACATTAATGTGTTTCATTATTGTCTAAATATAACTCTTATCTAAAACCTGGCAACCCATTTAAATATTTGGAAGCTGAATCGACCATTACTTGTGTACAATGAAAGCCCGACCGTAGCTGCTACCTTGACGTGGTGTTCGGGCTTGCCTATCGTGATCACCCAACCGAGATGTATTGGCTGGAACACATGTTCCTGAAGGTTCTACCATGCCAGGCAGGTCGATTGGAGAACGATGAGACTAAAAGCAGCTACTCAAGGTCTGAGGGCGAAGTCGTACTGCTGACTGCAGAGGGGTGTGACAGCAGTAAGGTGTTTCTTTCGGACAACCAGCATCTGCAGTGATGCTGCCTTCTCACGAGGAAGGAAGGAGTTAGAAAAGGTCGACCCTAAAAATGTCACACCTCACCTTACCTCACGGATTGCCGTCTCCGGAGGTAAGGGCTGCCCACTAAAGGCTTTTAAGAGTGGAGCTAATACTCTAAATACTTTTCATAAAAAGGCCGTGCGTGACCGGTCTTAAGCAGTCGTCCCTTGGGCTCAGCAGTCACGCTCCCAGGTTGTTTAGACCAACACTAATCTACCTTCCTTTTTGGGTTTCTCAAGAAACACCCTTCCACGGTGTAAGCAGCCGGGAAGTAACAACCGCCCTCATACCCGTAACAGCACGCGAGACCAAATCGGTCACAAACAATGAAAGCAGAACATCAATGCTTATTTAAATGAGAAAAATTTTAAGGAGGAACCCAAAGAAGCTTAAATATCCAGTAACTTTTTCACAGGTAGAAAAAACGGTATAAACACTGATGAATAGAAGAACATTAAGATGTCTAAAAATTGCACAATGACACTGTACCAGCTACTAGTTAAATATTGAAACTAACTAGGTAATCACTGAAGTACATATAATGGAAATTGAAAAAGTTAAGTCACCTGAATATCACCATGATTATTTCCAACAGCCACTAAAGGACCGCAAATTGAATCAATCATTGAAAACCTCATTAAATTCGATGGACATACGCGACATAGTGTTGGTTCTGATCGACTTGGAGAGTATAAACCATTTAATTCAAGATACAACTTTACTGGAGGCCTACAATCAAAATTTAGACAGCAACTAAATGCAATAAGCGTCAAATTATTGTAAATATAAATCAGCGATTCCCATAACAATACTTACTCAAAGTTGACCTAGATTTAATAAAATACATCTGAAATCATGATTTAAAAAATCCCTAAAAAGTAACGGTTAGCATTTCGCCATTAGTCAAAGCTATTAGCTGTTTTTACAATTTCATATAGAATAGCAATTTTATTTTCGTATTTATTAAATAAATTGGAAAAGGTCTACCTGAAAATGTAACAGTGTCAACCATTCATAACTGCCCAATCGGATCACCTAAAGTACACGATTGTGTAGTAAACGTATTCATTTTTTACGGCAGATATTAAAAGACATATATCAAAATCAAAATTTCTCAATGAATAATCATAAATTGACGGCTTCACTCAGATATTCAGTCACCTGCGAAGTAGGACCCGGCACAAATGTGTTTCGGTTCAAGTTGTCAAACCACAGCGTCGATCAGTCAGTTACAGACTGACTGATATTTGTCAAGACAAACGCTAGAGTAGTAAGAGTAGTAGCACTACCAGTAGTAGTAAGAAAGATTAGGTGAAAAAATGGAATGAAAAGACTCCAGGCATTAGAGTATACTGACAAAGGGTGAGTGAACTTCGGCCATTGAGAACAATTCTGAGCCGTATCACCTGATGTCTCTAGGCACTGGTTACAATAATTGTGCAGGCACTAATCAGATGGTTTTCACCCACCTACATGACTTAGTTCGACTTTCAATGACTTCATGAACTGATGCCACCTATTTGATTTGGCTGCCCTCTGGCTTTTATTAGTCTAATCCTATATCGTCCATTTTCGGGCGCTGAAGTAGTCGGTGGATGAGCATAAATAATATATGTCCTAAATAAGTCAGTTGACAAAGATTGACTAGCTCGTCAACTGACCTGACAGTACACCGCGCCTAACCTCAGGATCGCTAACTCAATGGCCCCAAAACATACGAGAGGTTGCTCGAAGAAGCTGATGATTTAATTACCAGCACCCGACAAATATCCTCTATTTTTTAAGGCTTGTAGTATATAGTACCCTGTAAATCCTAGATAGGCTATTCTGGTTTTTTGACAGAACAATTAATTTACCCTTTGTGGGTCATTGTTTACACATATTTTAACCTTGTCAATTATTTGCTTGTAACTGTGACAATTTTTATGAGTGTATTTGTATCACTGATTCTTTCCATTAGAAGTACTTAGTATATTTTTGTTGGGCTCTAAACAGTGAGTCAGACTTTATAAAATGAAGTTGGCAAGCTTGCCTACCCCGCTCAGTTTTAGTGTCCATCTGACTAATAAAATGACTGAGATAAATCCATATAACTTGGCCCATATTTGACCTATTACCGCCATCGCAGAAATGCGGTTAGCCTAAGCGTAATATGGGGAACTAAGAGGTGGGTTTATGCTGCTCCCCAGAGCATAGGGCTGTTCGCTAATCTGACAGTACACATCCTAACATTACATAATAGGTGGCTAAAACAGATTCTCTGGAACTAGTAATCAATGCATAAATAAAATACCTTGTTTAATTACTCACTTATTTAAAACCGGTGCATGTGGTAACAGATCCGAAAGGCTCCAAATTGGCTTTCTTTCTTCATCACAGGAAGACGAATTTCGAATATCTCGTAGTCGCCAAAACTTTAAAAATTAATACAGAGTTAGAAAGACATTAAAATTAAATCACTGACAGCTACACTATCTCACAACTTCATTGTGCATTAGTCGTGGATGTTAAGTAACTGTTTGGCTGTGTACTGCTGAATGTTAAGTACATAATTTCAGCTAGGACCTAGTTCTATTTATACACACAAAGAATCTTTTGTTTTTATAGACTATGAACTAAAAGGTGTGCTTAATCTTACGATAAAAAGTAACATGAATTTAGTTTCACAGCTCCGAAAAAAAGCCCAACAGAACGTGAAAAGTTACAAATTTAAAGAACATCAAAAAGTAATTAAAGTTACGTAAAGGTACTGTATGACTGCTGTAAAAACCCTTCCAGTGAAACAAATAAACATAATTCCATTACGCTTTGGACACACCTAAAGTGATTTCCACATGAAATTGAGTGGTATTCTAGATGCAAATACTTTCAACTCAGTAGGATTTATATGCACGTAACTTACAGCCTAAGTACAAGTTTATGTATCTGGTTTCAAGCCATCGTTTATTTTAATGCTAACGTCAATACACGGCTGTCTAAACTAAAAGATTGGTGGAACAGAGCTCACACCTGAGATCTAAGAGTTGAAAAACGAGTGTTCTAACCACTAAACCACTAGTCTTAATACGAATCGATTATCCAGTTATAACAATAAAGGAAACAGTTTAATTCTTCTTCACTAAAATATCACGACTACAAGACCATGAACCATCTTAAAATTGCTGGTAAAAAACAGACCAGTTAGAACAGCAACCAATTGATAGATCAAATGAAATCAAAACTATCTCGTAAATTTACTGGATTTCAGGATTATAAGACCTGACTAAGGATCGCTGTGTTACGATACATTACATATTTATTGAGTAAAAACTATTAAAAGTTAACTAAAAAAATTTTACCAAAAATTACCTGGAACCGACCATCAATTGAAACTACGGCGATATTCAACTCCGTCATTTGGTCGACAGAAAAACTAACATGATGTACTTGTTTTGGGCGTCTAAAAGATGCAGCAGTTGCAACGAGAACATATATATCATTAGCCTGGAGATCAGAAAATTCTTGACGAGGTATTTGCAATAAATGAGACGTATGAAGAGAAGGATCCGTTGCTAAAGCAAGACCACGACAAGCATATACGCTTAAATTGCCGTTTTCATGTAAACAAATGATGACATCACGTTGAGTGCAAGAATACACCTGTAAATAAGAAGTATGCTTATAGATATAACTAGTCATATTCCTTATTCTGATATTCTTCCGCTATACTTTCCATGTCAAAGCTTTACATTAAACAAAATTTGGTTCATATGCGTTCAGGTTGCTCCACTTGCAGATAAGCAGAAACATATATTTATGAATCCTCATGTACTGAATATCGGCCCATTTAGTGATAAGCATGATGAACATTAAATGAAATATGTTGGACCGTTGTTTTCTTTAGAAAAAGGATTATTCAGATCTATCACAGATTTATTCGATGATCAAACTTATCAGTTTTATGAAGAACAAAATTTAAAGGGCATACCTAATACTTGATAATTTTTTCTAGATAATTATACCAAACATGGGTCCGGTTGATAAACCCTCAAGTATTTAACTCGGCTGGGACATTCAGTAAAATATGGTTTCTATAAATTGAAGGATTATGCTATGATACAGGAGACATCTAAATTTATGGATTCTTAGAGATGAACTGCCTGGAAACTATAGAGCTGAAATATCACTTTCAAGATCGTTAGTACTCATGAATTACACTGACTTACACGTGAGAAAGAAGGCCAAGAATGATCTAAAGAAATGAAATAAAGCGGACGGACCAATACTAGGTTTACAATAATAATCTCCCTCCTAAAAACAAACAAAGCACAGTCCTTGTGATATCGATGGTAAGTGACCTGCAAGCATGTTTTAGTAGATACTAATCTTGCATTATCACTCGCAGAATCAAATGTCCTGTATAAAAATTAAAGAAAAACAGTAAAAGAATTGAAACGAAATAAATAGTAAGATTTCTCGAATACTTGAATGAATGATATTTCTACAATCAGAATGAAAAAAAAGATGAGAGCACTTGGTAGATGTACTCAACTGAAAATATGATATACTTGCTCCTACTAAGTCAGTCAGTTACAACGTAGAACTTCGTACGTGAATACACAAGTTCAGGTTACCATACTGCATCGGCACAAAGCCGCAACTGTCAGTTCAAATCACAGTGTTAGCGATAGTAGAAGCATTAGCAGTAATGGAGAAGATTAGGGTTCGAAGTTATGATTTGAGAAGTATAATTCAGTGAAATAACTTCAGAAAGAGAAAGATAGAGGTGATGAAGAATTTAGAAAGTTAGAATTTGAGAGAACACAATGAATGAATGCAGATGAGCCATTGCAAACGATTTTGAGACATGTCGTTCAAGGTCTCTAACCATCGTTTACTTCCGTCTCCCGGACCCCAACCAAGTAGTCTACATCGACCAACATCAGTCAATCCATTTGTAAGTGACTTCATAGATTTGTGCCACGTTTTGATCTGACCGTCCTAGCTTTCTCCCAACCTACTCCTACACCACAAAACATCGCTCGACGAGGCAGTCGATGGTTGGGCATACGCAACACATGTCCCAACCACCTCAACTGATGAAGTCTTACTACTTCATCCATTGATCCGTCATCCCTACATATTACTCATTCCCTAAAGATAGCATTGCTTACTGGGTTGTCCCACGATACTTGAACAATGCTTCGGAGACACCTATGATCGAAAACCAGTAACCTACGAATATCTTCTACTCTTACCAGCCATATTTCACAGTAGGATGGGGCGAACGGCTGCGCAGTACACTCGTCTTTTGGTTAGCAAACGGATATCTCGCCTTCGTCATAAGTGACGCAAGTTGGCAAAAGCTAATCGAGCCTTCTGTATCCGTGCTGAGATTTCATCACACACTAGGCCATCAGCACTGATGAGACTCCCGAGATAAGTGAAGTGGTCTACACGCTCGACTACTTCATTAGTTCGGATGCCGATACAAGCCAATCCTGAAGCAAAATTAGGCATTTCGAGGGTGGAAACCGCATCCCGCACGCCAAGAGAAGGGAGCGAGTAAGAATTTTCTGGCAGTAGCTATACAAGCGTGGCCATGTGACAGCGTTTTTAGAGAAGGAATAATATTACCACTGTTGGACATTTGAGGGTCAGAAAAGATTAGATCATCTAACTCTTATTTAGTAACAACGTGAGGCATGTGACATGTTCATCAACTGCAGTTGCTACACTACATAACAGCACAGGGATGGTGAATGAACAGGAGTAAGGATAGAAATGAAAATAAAAATACCTACAGTAATACAAAACCAAATCAAAGCAACAATCAAATAAACGAAATTTAGAATTGGAAATGGCGGGATGGTAATATCTTGTCTATAAAACGATAAATCAAAAAATGAACCTACTTGCGCGAACGACAAAGATTTTGAGTGACTATTAAAGTTTTCCAGCCATATGAAATAATTACCTTTTAAACGGCTATATCTATAAATTTCCCGGCAAGCATCCAATGACTTTATGGACCGATATCAGTTTTTCATTTTCTTGATTGGTTTCAGTCAACCTACGAGTTAGCCGCAATGTAAACTGAGGCCAAGTGACAGTTGCATGTCCCCTAGACCATTCAACTACTCCAATGTTTCTAATCGTATCAACCACCTTGCCACTACAACCGGGAGTTTTACAATTAAGGAATGTTGTAATGCTCGACTGATAAAGGGATCATTTAAACCTTGATTTGAATAATAAGGGGTTTGTGAGGATTGGATGGAACTATGTCAAAAGGTAATGGGACACAGGACATTTTAAGGTATTTCTACAAAAGCTTTCCTCAAACTAGTATGAGATGGCTTTCAATACTATTTATTGCATCTCAGTAACCAAGCGCATGCATGCACTCAGATATGACCCATGACGTTTATATGACAAGTGATGACGTTATGAAGTAGTTCGGTCAGTCAGCTACAACGTAGAACTTCGAAAGTACATACATCACTTTAGGTTGCCGTACCACGTTAGCACAGAGAGACAACTGTCAATTAAAATAGAATAGTAGTAGGGGTAGTAGTTCAACCAGATATATTATTTAAAAGCAAAATAAAAATTAAATTTCAACCAAGAAAATAGATCAACTACCTTTCAAAGTTCCCTGGGGTGAGGTTCAGTTCACTGGATGATTTTGCTGGCGTTGATGACGCTGTCCCACGTGAGTTTACTTCATTAGGAAAACGCTTGTTACTATTTTCAACTGCAAGTTTTAATATGTAGTATTAACAAACCAGCCTTAGAAATGTTTAGTTTCCCACTTTTTCCGAAAGCGCACGAAGTAACGCTAAAATTTTCCACAATGAAATGATCCTTTGAATAAACTTAAGTTTTAATAAGTAAGTGGAAAATAAGTTACAAATCATTTTTGAATTAGAGAATATATCCAAGGAAAAAGAAATCACTTCGTCACCAAAAGAGTACTTCCATAATTTTGTTTGGGTTTGTGTGTTCCAAATAATGAATTTTCCATGAGAGTGAAGAACAGCCAACAAATCACGAGAAACCCACTGATTAGGTAACCATAATATTTCTGAACTGGTTAGCAGAATGTAGAAACTAACCCAAAGCGAGTGAATCTGCCTCACGAAACTCTGAAGTGGCAGAGGAGGTAGTAGCATCCCAAATTATTATCACTCCAGAAGAATCGACACTAGCAAGTCTTAGTTGAAAAGGGTTTTTATCATCATGATAATAATTCTCAGGAGCCCACAAAACATTTACCACGTTAGCCCGGTGCCCCTGGAGCGACTGCAAAGACTGGGATAAATTTAGTTAAATTATTAAGCGATGTTACTTTACTACTACAAGGGTCAACAATAAGTATATTGGTGAAACTGCTAAGCGCAATAAGTCCTTTCCAACCGCTAAAAAGTGAGTAAAACTAAAACTCCGAATAACAAGCCTCTTACTAATCAATAGCTAAAGAAGCTTGTGTGCTGATGCCGACCGATAAAACCCTTGGTCTCATGACACCTAAGCATTTACCAAATAACTAAAACACAGTGTTCCGAAGCACCTCATGAGAAGCGCTATCAATGTGACCTTCAGGGCTCAGTCACAAAGCTAACAGGACTAGAATTTTTTCATGTGTTACATAAGCTGCATTAATTAATTTAGCAGGTATCTCTGAGAACATCCATTTTGCTGTTGAAAGTGTTGCTTAGGGTTTCTAGTTACTGACCACTTAGTACCCTCGCCTTGGACACCCTCGAAAATACTTACACCGAGTAGAGCTATACCATATATTATCAGATCAACATAGTGTAGTGCGACTCAGTCTGAAGCCCCTCTGGGGTTACTGCCAGTCACATGCCGGGAAGGTTGTGCATGGAGTTAGCGATCCCATGGAACTCGCGAAAAAACGCTGACCAGAAAAACAATAGTGAAATGCACTTTCCTTCTCAGTTGGGAGTTGGATAATGCACTTCAAAGGTGATAATTTAGCCATTTAACTTGCACTTTTTTCCAGTTTTTATGTCATGTTCAGCTACGTCATGTATCTAAGACTGATTTGTGCTTAGTTGAATTAATTGATGGTAAACTGAAGAAATTCAACATAGTAATTTATGGGTAATTTTCGTTCTTCCTAGAGCGGTTCGAATAGTTTCAGAAACATACTGTTTAGTTAGTTCTACTGTAGTGGAACTATTTCGTCGAAATAATACGATTACTGACGTACAAATACTTATTATTGAACATATGTAACATTAACTGTTTTATTGTATATCATTTGTTTATTTATACTAAAAGTCACCTTTCGCGCTCCACCCACGCCATCCCTGCGGATCTAACGATCATCTCGTGTAATCATCGATTGTACAAGCTGAACACGTGATATTATTCTAATATCACTCGATTTTCTATCAATAAACGTTGATATCCTATATACAATCTTCTGTTCTGGAGTTCGTTTGGACGTGTAACCTTCACGCTTCAACATTGGTGAGCCATTGGTCTGGAACGCGCTATTATTCGGATATCTTCGCCACAAAACGATAAAACTTGGTGAGTCTGTCAGTTTTCTATCCATTTATCATATTATTTATTCTGTTGCTTAATACTTATATATAATAAACTAGCAACAGCGATTTAATTTTAATTAACAATGGATAGCGCTAAATGTACTGATATGACAGACTCCCAGATCCAGGTCCTTAATTTTCGACCTGTCTCCTTTATTCCCCACGATCCAGAGGTCTGGTTCGCGACACTGGAGACTCAGTTCGAGATCCGTCGCATAACGAACCAGCGGCTTATGTTTGCCTATGCCCTGGAATCCTTACCTGGGGACCATATAGCGGCTGTTCGTGAGGTCGTCCTCAACCCCAACGCCCCAGATGCCTACAATCGTCTCAAGGAGGCGATTCTGCAGCATTTCCTCCCATCGAAGGAGGAACGCTTGAGGACTCTTTTAGCACGTCACCCTATGGGTGATGCTAAACCGAGCCACCACCTCACGCGCCTGCAATCACTAGCAGGACCGACAGCGGCTAACTCAGATATAGTCAAGGAGCTGTGGCTCGACTCACTACCAGCCTATGTTCAGCCTACGATCGCCGCCCTGCCCGAAGATATGCCGCTAAGCCAAGTTGCACTAGTGGCAGACAGAGTGATTACACGAACCGGCCATCGAGACAACTATACGGTTGCGTCCACGTCACATACCGGCGTGGGCCTCGAGGCCAAACAGGGTAAAGCGCATAAGGATCAGGGTTGCTGTATACACAGCCGTCTGAGTTTTTCAGACCGTTCCAAAGTACCTGAACCCTACGTCCTGCGAGCACGATCGCGATCACGTAAGGCTGTAAGTACTCACCCCCAGCGGGCATCTTCCAAGCCACGCCAACGAGCGGCTTCGGAAGCGAGTACCGGTTGGTGCTGGTTCCATCGGACTTTCAGGTCCGCCGCCCGCCATTGTCGACCTCCATGCTCATACAAGGCGGGAAACTCCCAAGCCGGCGAGTAAAAGCGGCCCTACTCGCCGGCCACTCACCTCAGGTTGGCCGTTTATTTTACGTGCACGATATCCGCACGAACGCTAGGTACCTAGTCGACACCGGTGCCCAAGTTTCTGTCGTACCATTAGGTAGCAGCAAGTTACAACCTACAATAATTCGATTACGCGCTGCGAATGGCACTGTCATTCCTACCTATGGTACACGACAGTTATCGGTCAACCTGAGCAACCGACGACAGTATCTGTGGACGTTCATCATTGCCGATGTTCCCACAGCTATACTCGGTATCGATTTCCTACAGCACTATGAATTGCTAGTCGATTCACGTAGGCTGCAGCTAATCGATACTTCGTCGAACAGCTAATTTATGGGCTTTCGAGCTCATACAAATGCGTACCGAATAACAGGTTTATTTCATTCGCGTGATGACATTTTCCACGCTTTATTCGAAAAATTCCCCCAATTAACTAAACCACTCGAGGAGACTCCGTCAGTGACCCGACATGTGGAACACCACATCGTCACCCGCGGACCACCAGTCACGGCAAAGCCTCGCCGACTGGCACCGGACAAATTAGCTTTCGCTAAACGTGAGTTCGACAATTTACTAGCTACTGGTATTATTCGTCCTTCTCACAGTCCATGGGCCTCACCACTCCACATGGTTCGAAAAAAGGATGGGATAAGTTGGCGACCATGTGGCGACTACCGAGCACTAAATGTAGTCACGCGTTTCGATAGTTACCCCATCCCCCACATACACGACATCACGGCATCACTCAAGGGCACGACTATCTATTCTAAGATCGATCTGGTACGGGCATACCATCAGATCCCAGTCGCTCCTGAGGATATTGAGAAAACTGCTGTCACGACTCCTTCCGGTCTGTTTGAGTTCCTACGAATGCCATTTGGATTACGGAATGCTGCTCAAACTTTCCAGAGGTTTATCGATGGCATAGTACGAGACTTTGATTTTGTTCACGTCTATATTGATGACTTGTTAATCGCATCATCAAACGTAGATGAACATTATCAACATCTTAAACTCTTATTCCAACGTCTTTCGGATAATGGAATACTAATCAACCCAGATAAGTGCGAACTTGGAAAAGCCGAAATAAAATTTCTGGGTCACGTTATAAAGCATGAGGGTATTTTACCATGTGAAGATAAAGTACGTACGATCATGGAGTACACTGTACCGTCTTCACTCAAAGAACTGAAGGCTTTTCTCGGTTTGGTCAACTTCTATCGACGTTTCATTCCTCACGCCGCGGAACAGTTACGACCACTAACCGATCTACTTCGCGGGAATCCACGTAAGCTAGAATTGAACGATGACGCACGTACTGCATTTTCCGAAATTAAAAAAGCTTTGGCTCAAGCTACGCTCCTCGCCCATCCCGACCCATCAGCCACGCTCAGTATAGCGGTTGATGCATCCGATTTCGCTATAGGAGCCGTCATGCAACAAAACATCTCTGGCAGTTGGCAACCTCTCGAATTTTTCTCACGACGCCTTACTACCACGGAGATAAGATATAGCGCTTTTGGTCGCGAACTGCTAGCAGCCTACTGTGCCATCAAACATTTTCGGCACGCAGTAGAAGGTCGTAACTTTATCCTTTTTACCGACCATAAGCCCCTAACGTATGCTCTTCATACAAAATCTGACCGCTACTCACCACGAGAGTGCAGACATTTGGACTATATCTCTCAGTTCACGACAGACCTTCGTCATATTAAAGGCGAGTCGAACTACGTTGCTGATGCTTTGTCACGTATTCAAATGAATGCAGTTACTTCACCAGTGCTCGATCTTCCTGCTATGGCCGCCGCCCAAGCAAACGATCCTTCTTGTTCAGAAGCACAACAGAATACATCCCTTTAGTGTCAGGAAGTGCCCCTAGCTACTACCTCAGGCACTATCCTATGTGATACCTCTAACGGTCTTCCTCGACCCATCGTACCCTATGCTTATCGTCGTCTCGTCTTCGATGCCCTTCATGGTTTGTCTCATCCAGGTATCGCAGCTACATTACGTCTTATCGCTGCACGATACGTCTGGACTTCCATGAACAAAGATGTCCGTATGTGGGTAAAGCAATGCTTACAATGTCAACGATCAAAAGTGCACAGGCACGTAGCCGCCCCCATCGGCACATTTGCTACGCCTGATGCTCGCTTCGATCACGTTCATATTGACATTGTAGGACCATTACCACCATCGCATGGGTATGATCACATACTCACGTGCATTGATCGCTTTACAAGATGGCCCGGAGCTATTCCCATCACTTCTATTACGGCGGAAACAGTTGCTCACCGCTTCGTAGAACGATGGATAGCTCTGTACGGTTGTCCCTCGACTGTCACAACTGACCGAGGACAACAATTCGAGTCCGAACCATTCTCCTCGCTAACTCGGATGCTTGGTACGGAGCGCATACGCACTACCGCCTACCACCCAGCTTCAAATGGTTTAGTCGAAAGGTTTCATCGCCAACTCAAAAACGCTCTTCGAGCACACGAAAACAATAATTGGTACGAAACCTTACCGCTCGTCCTTCTAGGCATCAGAACGAGCTTAAAGGCAGATATTCAATGTTCCGCCGCTGAATTGGTATACGGCACGACATTGCGTCTGCCTGGGGAATTTTTCACACCACGGAGCAGTGATAACTTCAATAAATCAGACTACGTCCAACGACTGTCTGCATTTATGCGAGCACTGCCTCCGGTGTCAACTCGAGTACAACATCGACAGGTCGCTCTCCCCCGAGAGTTATCTACCTGCTCACATGTTTTCATTCGAGTCGATTCGGTACGCAAACCTTTGCAACAACCTTACGAAGGACCTTTTCACGTGATTTCTCGTCACGAAAAGACCTTCAAGGTTGCTCGACATGGCCGCGTCGAGATAGTTAGCATTGATCGTCTCAAGCCAGCACACGTCGATGACAGTGCCCTACTTGCTAATCCGAGACCCAATGCTACACCTAGCGGG